CGCGGGGTTACAAAGCCACTCCCACAAAGGAGGCCACACCCACAGAGTAGGTTCGAACAATTTTTGAAACCCACCACTGGGACAATCCAATCTCAACCCTGGACTGTACTCATCTGCTTTCATTTGTAGTTTTGCAACTGACATTAACCTCCAGAGGCAATTTTACTAACGCAGAATCACAGTTTCAATCTATCAAAATTCGGCACCTATAAAAATTATGTGTCCACCACTTTCTTTGAAGTGTGAAAAATGTGTTTTTAAAGAAAACAGCATGGATGACTGAGAATGTTAATTGGGTTTGGACAATCACAAGGGGCTCAAACTACTCCTTCGTTAATGTACATGTAGTAGTTTCAAAGAAAGACTCATACATACTGGTTTCTGCCAATACAGGTAGTCCTCAACTTATGACAATTGAGACCAAAATTTATGTTGCTAAGTGAGATATCGGTTAAGTGAGTTTTGCGCCATTTTACAACTCTTCTTACCACATGCAAGGGAATTATTGCAGTTGTTAAACTATTAACATGGTTGTTAAGTAAATCTGGTTTCCCCATTGACTTTGCTTTTAGGTTGCAAAGGTGATCACGTGACTCCAGGAACTGCAACTGTCATAAGTAGGAGTCTGTTGTCGAGCATCGAAATGTAAATCACATGACCATGGGGATGTTGCAATGGTCATAAGTATGAAACACTCATGACCTGACAAATGCGCGCCTGTCAACAGCGCACCGACAAAACCGCGGCGATAAAACCGCGGCGATAAAACCGCGATGCCTACAGCGCGGCCACAAAGGCGCGCCGACAAAAGAACGGCGACAAAAGCGCGATTACGGTTAAGGTAAGGGTAAGGGTAAGGGTTAGGGTTAGGTTTAGGTTTAGATTCAGGGTTAGGTTTAGGGTTAGGTTCAGGGTTAGGTTTAGGTTTAGGTTTAGGTTAGGGTTAGGGTTAGGGTTAGGTTAGGGTTAGGTTCAGGGTTAGGTTTAGGGTTACGTTAGGGTTAGGGTTAGGTTAGGGTTAGGGTTAGGTTTAGGGTTAGGTTTAGGATTAGAGTTAGGTTTAGGGTTACCTTTAGGGTTAGGTTTAGAGCGCGCTTCTGTCGGCGCACTGTTGTCACCATGCTTCTGTGGTCATTCGTCCACATGATTTCGAACCTGCGCGTTTCTCCCCGCGGTTTTGTCGGCGCGCTTTTGTCGAGCGCATTTGTCAGTCAACCTGAAACACTATCATGTCACTTTTTTGAGCACTCGCATAACTTCAAACTGTCACTAAGCAAACTGTTGCAAGTTGAGAACTGTCTGTACACTGTACATTGTGTATAATTAGTTGCTTCACGCAATCCCTTGCTTTGCTCTTTGCAGGATGCTAGCACTAGCACTATACCGGCAGCCTCACTGCTCCCCCTTACCTGGGCTGCCTGCATCCGTTGCTTTGAAGGATAAACCAGGAACTCTTTCAGGAGCTGCACTGCTTGTGGAGAAGCATCTGGCACCACCTGCTCCAAAGGGATGGGCTGCTTCTCTTTGAAGGAGATTTTGTTGTAATCAGGCAACTCTGTAATCTCCTGTCCCAGCAAAAGAATAACAATGTCGGCTGTGACCAGGGGGGCCTTTGCCCAGGTTCGCCTGGTGCACCAATTGCAACCCTATCTGGACCGGGAGG